GAGCAGTGTGGTCTCTGCTGGGCAGGGTCGAGACAGGTGCTCCTGTCGCCGTGCTTTGTGAAGCTCACTGCAAGCCACTTCCTGCGCCCCGGTGCGTAGGGGCGTCGACTTCCCTGCACGCCCGCTGTCGCCGGACGACGAGGGCGCGCCCTACTACACCGCCCCCGTGCTGCCCCCGCGGCCCCCGCCCGCATACGGCGCGCCGCCCATCGTTCCAGGCGCGTCAGGCGGCGGGGCCGGGGCTGGGTATCCCACCAGTGGGGGTGGCGGCCCGCTCATTGGCCCAGACGTCAGCCCGGAAGACGCGCAGGCTATACGCGCGGCGGTAGCAGAGATGGAGGCAGAGGAGGCCGCCAGGCGCGCGTCATCACCGCCCGGTGGCCCGGGCTCGGCAGCGGCGCCCGCAGCGGCGGCCCAGGGCGGGACGGTGCCGGGGCCCGGCGGCCCCGTGCCGGGCGTGCCTGCTGTGCCGCGCTCCCCTCGGTCGATTGAGCAGGCGGTGCGCGTCGCATCAAACAGCGCCGAGCTGCTGTCGGAGATGCTGGCGCCGCTGGCTGCCGCAGCGGCGGCGGGCGGAGCGTCGGGTGACGCGTCGGGTGTGGGTGAGCCGTTCATCACCGACCTGGCTGACCAGTGCTACAGGTGGGGGCGGAGTGGGGCGAGGGGGGCGGGTAGGGTGAGCGGGGCATCATGGCGCACCCCGCACGGTGTGTGCAGGGGAGCAATGTGGCACTCATCAGTGCCGTGCTGGGCACAGCTCAGCGGTGGCTGCGCTCCCTCTCGCAGCATGCATGGAGTGCAGAACCCCGATAGCAGCATCCGACCCTTGTGACCCGCGCCCACCTCGCTCGCCCGGCCATCCCCGTCCCCGCCCCACCCCCCTCCAGGCACCGCAGCGTGCTGTCCGAGGTCATTCCAAACTGTGAGAGCGAGGAGCTGCTGTCCGCCGCGCTGGCGGCCAATGACGAACTCTCCAGAGCGCTCGCGACCTTTCAGGACCTGGCCGGGGCTGGCGCGCACACACGCGGCGCGTCCGGCGCCGGCGCCGGGCCGGGCGCAGCGAGCGACTTTGCCGCGCCCGGTGCGCAGTGGCGCCTGCAGCAGCAGCTTGGCAGCTTGGGCAGCGGCGGCGCGGCCGGCGGGCCGGCCCTGCCCACCAGCTCGTCGGCCGGCGCCGCCCTCAGTGGTGGTGGCGGCCTGCTGAGTGCTGGCGGCACCACCGCCAACTTCAGCCTGCTGGACGAGGGCGACGAGGAGGAGGCCGCCGAACTCACCACCAACAGGGCACCACTGACCGGGCGCAGCGCGGCCCCCAGCGGTGGCGGCGCCGCCAGTGGCGGGGGTGAGGGCGTCGCCCCTGCCCGCGGCAGCAACCTGATCGACCTCAACGACATTGACGTGGCGCCAGCCGCCCCCCAGCGCATCGAGGACGGCGTCGCCAGGCTGGGACTCGGCGCGGACAGCGGCAAGCCCGCACAGCGCTGAGGGAGCAGCCTGGGCGCGCATGGCTGCGTTTCATCGCTCTCCGCGCCCGGTGCTGGCTGACGTGGCTGCAGCTCAGCCGCGGATGGGGCATGCCATGCAAGCTCACTCTTGCTGTCAACTGTGCTCAGATCATTTGCGTTCGCGTAGTGTGCCTGCTTGCGCACGCCACTGCCCTGTGCATTGGTGTTCTGTCCTGTCATGCACACCTGGTCACTCTTGCCGTTCGATATCCAAGGGATTTCCGTCCCTTATAGGGGCAGGTGCGTTCCATAGCAGCACTGGATGTGATGTGCTGAGGTGGCACGTTGGTAACCTATTCACGCACAGACTGCTCTGTAACAAGCGGCGGACTCTGGTGGGGGGCCAGTGCTGGCCTTTGTCGAGCCAGTCGAGAGATTTACTGCATGGGCGCATGATGACTATTGCGCTGTCATCACAACGCAGGCGCACTGCCCACGAAAACAATGCGCATGAGAAAAATCCAGCGGCCACTCGCATGCTGCAAGGGTGCGCCAGCCTGGTCATGGCGCGGCATTGCTCCTCAACCGCCGCGCCGCACATCATCCTGCCCCCTTGCCAGCCCCCAAGTGCGCGCTTCCACGCTGACAACTGCCACTGCAGCCGCTGCCGTAGCCGTAGCCGCCCTAATGTGCTTTGGGCAGCTTGGTCACCTTGCCGATGGCGATGGTGCGGCCCTCATCTCGCAGGGTGAAGCGCCCCATGGCCGCCAGGTCCTGAGGGATTGGGGAGGTAGGGGAGAGCGCTCACAGCATGCTGCCCCGCGGACCTGACACGACAAGCGCAGGGCAGAGAGCGCGCCCCAACCCACGCACCTCCCGGCCGACCCGCCACCACAGCCTCGCAGCCCGCGTGCCACCCACCCGCATGCGCCCCCCCCACTTTCCCCCTCACCTGGAACGTCTCCATGCACAGCGGCTTCTCGAGTGAGATGCGGCACACGCACATGGCCCCGCTCTTGACGTACTTGACCTTCTTGGTCTCCTTGGTGCGCATGTCTATGGCACTCACCTGGGGGTTGAGGGGGGGTGGGGTGTGGTGCAGGAGGGGCCGTGTCATACGCCAAGTCAAAGGCGAGGTGCAGATACATGCATTGAATTCGGTGAAACAGGTAGCTGCCACTCCAACAATTTAACTTCACCGCATAGTGTCCTGACGCAAAACTGCCTGCCCAGAACACCACCCTTGCGCCCAGCCTGGCAGCGCCCCCCCCCCCCACCAGCTTCACGATCTCGCACTCCTCAACAGCCGTGTGGATGTGCAGGATGGACCTGCGGAAGACCGCCATGGCAGAGATTTGTTGGCGGTGGTGTGTGCGGAAGGGGATGGGGCCGTTGCGGCTGCAGTGGTTAGGTAAGTGTGAGCAGTGGACCGCCACCACCAGCACAAGCTGCAGAGGCGTGCCAAAATGAGCCCTGCTCAGGCCGGCACGCACACTGGGCCCATGAAAACGTTGTAAGGGTGAAGAGCCCACCCTCCAGGCCCGCTCCCTGCCCGCGCCGTGCCGTGCGCACCTGTACCCGACCGTGAAGATGGGGTTGTGCTCCAGCAGCTCGAGGATGACCAGCTGCGCCTCAAACTGGGCCACCACCGGCACCGGGTTCTTGATGCTGCACAGCACAAAGCCCTGGCTGATGTCAGAGTCCTCACACCCAGTCAGACGCAGCCGCAGGTTCTCACCCGCC